GCTACCAATTTTTTCTTCATATGATGAACATTAAAGAACAATAACACGTGCGTTATGATAATACGAGCAAGACAGACTTTTCTGTGAAAAATTGTTATATAACCCTATTACAAATTTTATTTTATCTATAAGTATAATACATCCATCTTTATCTAAAATACAAAGATTTATTGATAAGTTAAACTAAAAATGTAAAAATCAGGTTTCTACAAAAAGTAACTGAAATTTATAGTTTTCGTAGAAAAATAATAATAATAATAATAACTTTATTGATATGCATTTGTAAACTACAGCAGAAAAAATAAGACACAAAAGACAAAAAAAAAATTAAAAATTGCATAAACAATAGACGAGGTATCAGCAATAATGCTACCTTGAAATCTAAACCTGAACTTAATACGTATTAATTACAGCAGATTTGCTAAATGATGAAATTATATTACAAGATAAAAAAACAGATTGAGCTAAACAAGTCTAATACATAAAGGAAATAACACACATAGCAATAATAATAATAGCACCACGCAGAGAACAAATAAACATTATATACATATGAAACAGTTCGATAAAATTAATATTTATGTTGACAATACAATTTTACAGTTTAAATAAAAAATTTCTCATTTTTTAAATTATAATTACTTTTTAAAAATATGTCTACATTTTAATGAAATAATTTTTTATCCTGATTTTCTAAACTGCTGTCAAACTTTTTGTATTACAAATATAATATTGTACTTAAAAATCTGAAACTTCTTTTTTTATTACAAAAATATGTAATGCGTTATTAATTTTGACGCACGAATAAATCAGAATAGAAATCTAGTGTTTTCGATCTCGTATAGAAAGTCTTGAGTTAAAATACGCCAGAATCAAATAGTTTTCTTATCGATACCTAACTTCAACGTTTGTATACGAATTCATGTTTTCTCCTTTTTCAAATCATTGGTTATTACGCACAAATGCAAGTTTCTTTAAAAATATCCAACTTTATGTACGTTGAAAGAATTTTTCTGAAAAACTTACAGTTCTCCCTTTTTCATATATAGTTGTTTTGTCGACGGGTCAATTTTGCTTGCACGCAAACCTCACATACAACATACCTCGTGAAAGGCGGTATTTCTGTCACAAAGGACCTTATTCGAGCAATGTCGGTGTAGCACCGAAGATGGATTCTGGGACACGAATGACGAATTTACTGTTAAACGTATATGTAGTGTTAAGCATCCGGAAATTTGAAAACTCGGGTGTCTATATAGATGTACATACTGGATTGGATTTTATATATATATATGTGTGTGTAATACATTAGAAAAAGTCTTTTTACATATATGTAACAGAAACCTTTACCAATCCACCATTTGTTGTGAAATTTTCGTTGCAATTATATTATTTGATAAAGCAAAGTTTCAGCTTTAAGAATCTGATTTCTTAATTGCGATACAATGATTTTTAACGGAGTTATGAGCAAATTAAAATCAAAATGTTATTTAACTTGCAAATAACTCAGAAACAAAAAATTGTTGCAACATTTTGAAAAACGATTGTGTAGAGAAGTTTCAAGCTTTTACGATAAATAGTCGAAAATGTTTGCAAATTTTGTTGGGTACGTGAAAGACCTATAAAGTGAAAAAAAAATCTTTCATCTTTTTCAATTCGTAGTTTTTTATATGTAAAAATTACCAAATTGACAGAAACTCAAAAAGTATAGTAACCTTCCGAAAGTAGAGTCAAGCTTTAAAATTCTTTTTTAAAATTTTAATTTCCTTCATTTATAACAAAGATATTGTAAAATAAAAATCTTTTTACATAAATGTATATATAAAAAGACTTTTCCCTCAACCCAATAAATATTTCTTTTGTTAAACAAGCAATAAGCACAAAGATACTGCGTCTTTTTAATGTTGAAAACCGTGTTACTAAACGCTTTATCATTCGAGTGCGAAATGCATATATTACTCGTATTTCTCTGAGAGAATTACGAATTTAATTACGTTTTTCTCTCATTCGCGGAAACGCTTCGTCTGAGTTTTGTGCCGTTAATTTGTCACTATAATATAGGTAAATCTAGTTCTGCCTTCTCATTAAAGAAGAAAGAATAATTAAATTTTTTTGCAGACTAAAGTAATTACATTTTTCAATATATGTATTTCTGCTTCTAGCTTTGCTCCCAAATTTCTTTTTATATTCATTTTATATTCGTTTTATATTGAATAAGAGAGATTCGTTTAATAAAAAAAGAAAAAGGAAAAATGTAGAACAAGTATGATCCATTATCGGCACGGTCGACTTCGAGTTACGTTTTATTTGGAGCGATCAATGATGTGTGCATAAATATGTAGTCGACGTGCGTAAAATGCTGCAACGCGCTTCTTTTAATCGCAGCTGATTGTGAGTCGTATTTCTTTCAGCGAAATGTTATGGATATCGGTTAAGAAATCCGAAAGTGGTCCGTATCAACATTTAAAATACATTAAACGGAGAGTATATTTTATTCATATCTAAGTAACATAAAGATCGCATGCAAAGTATTAATACGGATGAGAATCAAAATTATCACAGAAGGAACGATTTCGCTAAAGTATCTAAAAATTTAGCTAGACATTGATTTCAAAAGAATTCTATTAGACTATCAAAATAATTGCATAGAAATCTCAAGTATGATGAGCAGTATTACAAAAAATTTTGATATTTTAACAATTTGAGCGTTCTACATAATTATATTTTAATAGTTCAACACAATTATTTTTAAATCTATATTTAGCTAAACTTTTAGATGTTTCAACAAAAGCAATTTTTTTAATACGTTGCTAAATTCATGTTGAAAATGATTTTATCTAAATGTAATGTTACGTCTATGTGTCTACTGTTCGTCTATTACTCCAAGATATACAAATCGTGTCGTTCGCTTCTCACGCGACGCTTACGTGTGCGTATCTCGATGAATACGTGCGTATGCTGCGTGGCCACGGTGAAGCCAATGGCCTGGACAGGTATGTGGGTGATGTCCATTTTCTTGAGTATCACATTTAGAGACGGAGACGGAAGATCGCTGGATTTGTCTGCTGGGTAATCGGTAAAGAGAGAAAACCTCGTGTCTCTCATTCTCTTCCGCGACTCCTCTCACCCAGCCCCTCGCCGCACGTTCCCGCTTCTCTCCGCTCGTCTCGCAGAACTAGTGGTCCCGCTATCCCTTTCCAGCTCCCGACAAGACCTCGTCGCGTTGCGGAGTCTGCGGCGTTGAGCGGTTTAATGAAACGTCGAACGGAATCGAATATTTCTCAAGTTACCAGCTGTCTATTACGTCTCGCTTCGGCAAGCGTATGCGCCGAGTATTCGCATGAATTAACCTTTGTCCGGACAGGTCGTGCGTAATTCTCCCGCCTCACGTCTCCACTTCCACAAAATGGCTCCTGATCCGCGGTCTTAGCCTTTGCGTCAATTATGTGGCGTTAATAGGTTCATTGAATGATCGGGGATTGAAGCGACGTCGAGTTATGTACACCACATTGAATCGGCACAATACAACATAAAGTGTTTCAGTACTTTAGTAATTTGATACGATAAATATTAAACTGGATATAAAATATCGTTTAATAGTAAACAATTTTAACGAGACGTTTATTGCTCAAATTATAGTAGTATTTTATTGGATTGTAAATTTAAAAAAATATTACTCTTGCACGTATAGTATTGCATATACATATAGTACATGTCTCATTCTTTTCGTAAACAAAGAAATTATTTTTTTATATATACTAATGCAATGCTGAATATTTAACTTGTTACGCTTAAAATTTGCAGTAAAATATAATTAATGTATCAATATTTTTCATTAAATTATTTTTGTGTAAGAAACGTACGAATCACGTGAGCGCGCCTACAGAAAGATATTCAGTTTGAAGGAACGTTTGCGTGGTCCCGTACAGTGCAGGCGTGTGGTATATAAGTGGCGGTTTTCCATATTTCAGAGTCATTGTGAGTTCTCTGGTTGTCGAGATTGTCTTTACTACTAACTATCGTCGCGTTGCCCCGACTTGTCATATAACGAGAGTGTTGGTGTTGACGCTAATTTAAATGATGTACATTAATATCCATCGAATTGTGTTATTTTTATTATTACACATCTTTCAATGCTGCCGAAGTCTTTCCACCGAAAGTACCACGGGTAATTATTTTATATTAAATTATTATCTAACATCGAACTTTAAATTAACTTAATTATACTTTTTCGTAATACAAATAATAACAGTGCAAATTAGAAAAAATATTGTTTTTAAATTTGACTTAAATTATATTTAACTTAAAAAAAAATGAATTGTTATTCTCTCATAAATAAAATATAAGAAAGAATGTTACATATATTATATTTAAAATTATACGTTTAATAAAAAAAATGTTATTAAGAAAACAATTTAAAATTTTCACTTAATTAAATCCTTAGATTTTCTTAAACAAAAAACTTTTATTAAAAAGTTTTTTTATAATTATTAAAAAATATATCATTTTAAAAAATAACTCGTACATATACTTAAACCAAACTAACGTATACGATATTTGCTCTATAAACTATAACACAATGAGACCATTTTACATATTCATAGATTTCATCGAGACATTAAATTGCTTCTTGTGACCGTAATATTTTTCAAAATAGGTATAAATTGTATATTGTACAAACGTATCAAACGTAATAAATCGCGTTAAAAAAGCAGAATGTGACTTATTTTTGGATTTTAAAAGTCACAAGGCGTATTCTTTTAACGGAAATAGCGAAATCATGTTTAGTGCCGATAGTATATCACTCAGACGCTCTAACCTTCGATGGTCCTCGTTAAATTTCGATACATATCTTATATGTGTTCACGCACATGCATGGAACACACACATCATGTTCGCCAGTGTACACATCTCATATTTCTCTCAGATCCGGTAGTGATCGAGAATCAGAAATGGGGAACACGTCTTCAACATTTGGAACTATTTCAATTTCCGAAAAACATTTCCCATCCTCATCTTCGCAATAAACGGTTTTTTATACCAGGTACCACAAAATTAAATACGCAGGTGCGTTATTCTAAGCATCATCTATAAATTGAAATACGTATTATTAAAAATAAGAATGTGTAATAAAAATTTAGTTTCTTTTCTAGAAATCAACGTATCAAGCTTGTATTGCGCCAGGTAATCGAGAAGGCCACTGTATGCATTTTAGTGGATGTATTCTATCGAAGGAATTTCTCAACAGTTCAAACGCTGAGCGATTTATGGACTATATATGCATAATTGAGCAGACGTAAGCTAACATTGTATTTTATGCATCGCAATTGTTTCATTGTTAATGTTTTCCTCGTCGCAGGTACATGGGTATATGTTGTCCTGATAGTGTCGTGACAGCTCGATCGGAAAATACATTTGACGATGATTTAGCTAGCAAGTTACCAGCGATAGCAAGTTTGTATAAATTTTAATTATTTATTTGAGAATAATACAATATATATTTTTAAAATTATATTATTAATTAAACTGTGTAGATATAAAATTATTTTCACGTAATAGTAACAAATAAAAAATAAATATTTTTAACTGTTATAATTGTACGATACTTTTTTCCTTAGGTATTTATACCTATAAGATAAATATGCACATAAACGTTTTTATCAACTTAACGCATCTCGATGAAAGTGCTATACATGTGCACTTTTATGACAAACGATATCTATCAATGTCTATCGCGATACTCGTATCAAGTGTCTGTTTAGCTAGCGAGAGAGTACCACGTGTACATACTTCAAATTCTTCTTTTGTAGGTCTCGACGACGATGAGAAAGAATGGGACGAAGCTCACGAAAACGAGGACGAGAACGTATCTTCCAACAAGACAATGCACGGCGATGCAAATTTGCGAAAAGACGGGATATCGGTCAAGCAAGAGACAAGGAAACCACGAAGACCCAGAGGGTGTGGCACAACCACGAGAATGAAAACCAGAATCGCGGGAGGCCGACCGGCTGACCCTAAAGAGTGGCCATGGATGGCGGCCCTTCTTAGACAAGGCGCGATTCAATACTGTGGGGGTGTATTAATTACTGATAGACACATACTTACAGCTGCACACTGTGTTTACAAGTAAACTGTCATATAAATATTCATTAAGTTTTTAATGATTTTTATAAAATAATAAACGTTCTTAATTCTTTTTCGGTTAAGTAAAGTTTTCATTCGTTTTATAGAACATCAAACTTATTTTTACATTATTTCAAACTGTATAAAAATTTAAAAAAATTGTTATGCACTTGTAAAAGCTTTAACAAGTTTTCATTATCACAAAAGTAAGATTATATTTTATTTATTTTATAGATTTTTATTTACCACAAATCACAATAAAAAAATATCAACTGTACCTTTAAAGTCCAACATCCGACAAAGGATTACCTCAACATTGAATGAACTAATTGATAGTTATGAACTATTTTTTTATTATAAGATATTAAGCAAAAATTCTTCATTATTTCCATCATAACTTTTTTCATATATGTTTATAAATCAACTAAAAACTAAATTTATATTACATTCTATAAGAATAAATAATGCAGAGAATTGATTGCGTTAAAGAAAAGGAATTAAATGGTTGCAATAAAGAAAGAAATATTTCCATATAGTATTCACTTCAGGATACATGCGTATGTCTTGTATCTTAGAGTTTATGAGCAAAGATTACGATCTGGCCGGTGTTTCAGACATAACGCATTTATATTCTTGTGGTCATGGTTGACGGCGATCGCGCTTAGACTTTGTAATATTTCGGCATGCTGGCACATTTCTTTGTTATTTTCAGAGACGCCTATGTGCAATGTGTGCTCGCTTTATTGTAACCGCAAAATGAACAGTTAGGGAATAAGTTACAGTTATCCTACTTTGCGTCGTCGTATCTTTATAGGTTCAATCCGCGCGATATTACGGTGAGACTCGGCGAATATGATTTCACTAAGTACGAAGAGACGCGAACGTTGGATTTTATGGTGTCGGAGATACGAATACACAGGGATTTCAAATTGAACACATACGAGAACGACATTGCTATCATTAAGATCCATCGACCCACCGTGTTTAATAGCTATATCTGGCCCATCTGCCTCCCGCCTATTCAGCAATCGTTCGAGAATAAAGACGCCGTCGTTACAGGTCAGTGCAAATAGGTACAATAGATATATGTTATTTTTAAACCGAAAATTAATAATAAAATAATTTGTTAATTGTTCTTAAAATCTCTATCATTCGCACATCTGTAGATGATTTTTTAACAACCAAAAATTGATGAAAAAACATTTTATTAAACCGAATGAGACAATGCCACAGCATTGTCTAAGCTGGATCACAGGTGCTTCTAAATAATTGCGTGTCTTGTTATAATTACAGCTTAGACCGCTATGGCATTGTCTCATTCGGTTTGAAATTTAGCGGTCCACTAAGAATTGACATTGATTATTTTATTAGTATTTTATACGAAATTTCAAATTAATTTAATTTTTCAATATTTAGTAAACAAAATTTATTTGTATCATTAGCTGTTATCTGTTATTGTTTTATTACACTGAAAGAAAGGATTGGCTGAATATGGCATAGCATTTTTAATTAGATGCAGCAGCCAATTAAAAATGTTATTATTTATTTATATTTATCAAGCTACTCTTTAATTTAATTTTTAAAATGCTATGTCATATTTCACCATCTAATTTACAGCAGCAGCCAATCTTTTCTTTCAGTGTATAAATATATATTAGACACGCGTATATCTCTTTATATAGAATCTCGATTTAATAACTTACACCGGCGTCTAAGGTAGGCTTCCACTACAATACCTTACTGATGAGTCCAGTAGTGGAAGCCGGGACGAAACGCCAAACATTACGTGATATTCTTCGCAATATAGAATATTAGAATATATTATCAGATTTAGATTGACTCTTATTCGCCATTCTCAACGTATTAATTATTGTTTATAAAAAGAGTCCTTTATTTCTTCAATTATAAATATATATTATTTTAAATAGTAAATTTATAATAAACCGTGAAACAATTACCCACCAACTCAAAGTAACATAACATCAATGTTATAATTCCGCTAATTATAACTATAATTAAACTATGTAACTGTTGTGTAACACATCGTATGATATATTGTATTTATATTGTTGAATAGGATACATAACATTGTTATGTTACTTTAATTAGCGTCTACCGAGTAGTTTCGCTGCAACGGTGGAATGGACGAAAGAAGTCAAAAAATACAAATTGTTTCCACAATCTGAAAATGGTAAACATTTTATTAGGTTGGGGCACGCAATACTACGGAGGACCTGCCAGCACAGTGCTGCTGGAAGCGGCGGTACCGGTATGGCCTCAAGAAAGATGCGTTCGCAGCTTCACGCAATTGATTCCGAATACTACTCTGTGCGCCGGCGCTTACGAGGGAGGCCGAGACGCTTGTCAAGTGAGATAATAATTTATTTATTCCGGAAAAGTGTCGAGCGCGATCTGATGCCGCGGTGATGAAATGTTAATTGTGCATAAATTATAGCTAGGAAGATATTTCGCATTTTTAATGAATGCCGTCTTCCAGGCTGAAATCCGTTAATATTTTAAGAGATGTCGAGAGAAGGACAGACCTACTTTAATCGTATTACCAGATCCGACGAATCATCTCTTCTTTCAGGGTGACTCGGGTGGTCCGTTGGTGCATCAACTCGCCAACGGTAGGTGGGTCAACATCGGAATAGTATCCTGGGGTATTCGCTGTGGTGATCCCGGATATCCGGGAATATATACCCGCGTCAGCTCTTACCTCGATTGGATATTCGCGAACGCCATGTTTTGAGAGTCACGTAGCCGTTCTCACGTGCCAAAGATTTTTCTACTTTTACCTATTACATTTAGAATATTTTGCACTTACGTAAAGCATGCATTCGGCTGATGAAACGATCCTTCCGGCTCTGGCCAGCGATGCGACACATGAAAACGAGTTCGTTCAAATGATCGGACGTCGAGATAATTGTTAGACGATCTTGAAAACGACTAAACTTTATTTTCGGAATATTCATTTTGGTACATCGTTGAAAGAGAGATTGACACAGATAGAATTTCACTCTTCAAGATGCATCCCTCGTGTTGCCACATCACATTTACAACAGGGCGACCGCGGAGTATCAGCCACCTGTACCGTTCGTCCATACATCAAATACGGGTATGCAACTGCGACCGCACGTGCACGTACCTGTTTTGTGAACATGTATTTGTGTGAGTACGCGCATGTACGTGTGTGTGTGTGTGTGTGTGTGTGTGTGTGTGTGTGTGTGTGTGCATTCGCAGATACATGCACTCGCAATCGGTATTAATTTCTCAGTCACAGACTCCTTTCGCGCAAGAGGCCCAGCCTCTATTCGCCACAAGTGGCCCTAAACATCGACGTTAGCTACGGTAACTTTTTCTTTTGCAGCCATATACACATATATATAATCTAATCTCGTAACATATACATGTACTTGCATATACATATATATCTTTTTTCTCTTTTGTGTATTTATATATAACATCCTTAAACGTGTAGGTACAGAATTTTGTATTTGCGCGCGTCTCGCGGCGAACGATAATATTTGTCGTGTCGAGCATGATAAACACTGTGGCCGAGCTATGTCTTTTGTGATGTTTATACGTATATTCGCGGTTTCGTAGACGAGTTTGGAAGGAAAAATATATGTTAATAAAAACTTTATATTGGAAGAAACTTGCGCAAATATTTCTATACAGAATGTGTAACACGTTTGAGAACATTTACCGTTCTACCTCTTACGATCAAATTTCAAGTCAATTATCTTAATCTGGATTTGACTTCATTATTTCTCTCTTCTTCTTAACAATTGCGATGATAATGTAGAGAGAACGATTTGGTCAATCGCGGTCATTTTTTAATAAAATGGATCCTAAGATCCTCGCAAAGGGAGAGAATCTAAAATCGCTTGTATTTGCGATCGAATCTTAATTAATTCGGCATGTAAGGCTCGGCGGGAGTCAAGTAATGGCTGCGGCGAACTTTGGAAAACTTGCCGCTAAGCTAATTGTAAGCCCATTGCATTTTATGTGCTGTCGCAAATGAATTGCATGGGGACGTACGCGCGTAAATGGGAAATGCGAATGTTTCGCTTTGGTATACGAATAAATAAAATACATATACTCACGACCGGTATAATACTGTGTCCATATACAGAAAACTAAGTACTTCGGCAAAAGTACGTCGCCGGTCGTGTATCTCTCTTATAATAATTAATTGCCTTTTCCTGTATTCTTTTGGGCTCGGATCGTCCAATCCGATCTTCATTTTTAATTCTTATCGCACAATTAGCTCACGCGATACTCATTTATTCTAAAAATTGCGTTAATCGGTTGGTTCCATAATACCTTGTAGGAAGAGATCACTTTCAGCATGGAGTCAGTCCCGCCTTGTCAGCTAATCTATCGAAATGCTAATAACGTAGTCAGTATTTATGGTACCAAAAGTAAATCTTTCACTAATTGATTACTAGAATCCTAATTTAATATGGACTTTCTAGAAATCAAGAAACAGTCATGAAACTAATGTCAATTAATTCAAGAGAAGCACTTTCATCGTAAATCTAGAAGGTAATTGTTGCCACGATATGTTCACAAATCACTTTGATTACTTCCAGAATGAAGAATCTGAATTTTAAAAACTTTAGTAGATCAAAATGATGAACAAATCCTTCGTTTACACGTCCGTGCCCCATTTCTCTCTCACTTCAGTTTTGACCACGATTATATTTCGCTTTCTCACCAACGAATCCGAGCTCAGATTTCTCACGATAGCCTTTGCAAGCTCGGCAGCTGGCAAGGCAAACATAGCCGGGAAAGAACCTCTTAGGAGAACTAAACTCTGGGGACCGCGCCAGCAGGTAATAGGAGCGGCGCATTGGGACCGCTCTCGGTGTGATTGGGCATGCTCTCGGCCGTCGGATATACCTGGTGTATGGAGTTGTTTGCGCTTGGCGGTCCACTCGTGCGATTGCGGGACGGCGAGGAGTTGCCGATCGGCGTCGCGACGACAGTACGCGATGCGACCACCGATTTGGGCGCGCCGTTTCCAGTCACGCTAGGGAGACCGCAGGCGGGATTAACCGTTGCGGATCTTTGACCCTGAATCTGGTTCATGGCCGACGATGGATTGGTCTGAACTGCTTGGCATCGCGATTGGGCGGTCATTAAACCCTGCTGCTGCAATTCCTGTGGTCTCTGTTGACCCGGATGTCCCAGCTGCCGCGACTCCTGACTCCTCGATTGAATCGATTGCTGGATCGGGTACGGCTGATCCGATTGACTCTGAAATTTGTGTTGCTGACTGGCGGACAAGAGCGCTCGTTGTTCCTGTTGCTTCGACTGAGTCGTTTGAATTTGTGTGGTGATAGGAGATTGATCTTGAAGATTTGATATTTGGCCGATGGTCGTTGTGGGATTTACCTGTTGCACATTATTGTTCGTCGGTTTTTCGCCCATTAACCAATAGGTGGTCATCGGACCTTTACCCTGCGAACATTGGCGAAAAGAAAGATCATTTGTGGAGTTAAAAAGATTTAATATTATTTACTACAACGTCCGATAAAATTTAATATATATTTTATAATATCACATTAATTAACATTAATATTTTATAAAATTTCGTTCAAAGTATACATTCTTTTAATTCCTAGTTTATTTATTAAAGTCGAGCTATATAAGAACTCGTTAATGCAGCTCTCAAATATTAGTTAAAACAATATACAGAGGAGATAATTTATTCATAGAGACGGGAAACGATTAGTTGTGCTAACGAAATTACATTGTTCATAGTTAGTAACGGTAGATAGTGATTAAGAATCATAGCTAACGCCATGTATAGGTTATGTAGTTCCAGAGATTTAATTAAGGTCGTCCTGTGTGATGGGATTCAATAACAAAGGTGAAGCTATTATCGCTTTGTTACGCGATAGCGATCTGCGAATGCGTTTAACTCCGCCGGCGGCGCGTCAGTGAAATATTCAAATAAGCGGTAGCGTGTACAATAGCCAAGTGGTATACCAAGTACTTGAATTTTAATTCCCGGTCGGTAGCCCCGGTACTACTAGGAGCGAATTTCCGTGCGTATTTCCACTGGCACTATCTTACTAATTAATTGCATACCGCCGCAAAGTTACGCGAATGCCAGCAAATGCACGCGCGCTCGTACGTGCCATGCTTACTCGCGACCGCTGAACTTTGACCCGAATTGTACGGTAAACGATCCAATCACTCCGTGGACGCCTTCGTCCATCATTCGAGATGGTGTACTTAATCGATCGACGAGTCAACGATGTTTACAATTGTGAGTTCGAGGCAAACCGATCGAATCACAAATAAATAGGAGATCTGTAATAGCGGTCGCTTATTACCGCCGTTCATTTGAGGTATTGATGATCCTCGTGATATCGGGACCGTGATCTCGGAACTATGGCGCGTCCCTGTTGTATTATCCACTTTATCACGTGGACAACAGTGACACACTGAACGAACTACTATAATTTCGACGACGCGACGCCGAAATTGACTGCCAGCGGGAATTGCTCTCTTCCGGGAAAATGGAGACAGATCGCACCTGTGGACAACGGGCGACGTGATGCACGTGGTGTATGTGTATTAAGCAAGAGAGCATAACGCACTCGGTTATGGTAGAGCACCTCTGAATATGTAACGAGAGAAATGCGCATATGGAAACTAACCGCCGGATACAACTGCAATCTACAACTCACGACCCTCCCGGAGCTGTAAATGTGATTTGTCGAAGTTGAGAAAGTTGAATCCCTTGTCGAAGGATCGTTGCTTATGCGTTATACGTTAAAAACTGTAACCGACAACATTCGATAAAATCTACATAAATATTTTATGAAATATAAATATTTCTATATATATATATATATTTATTTATTTATTTTATAAATATTTTACAAAACAATAAGCGTCAAAATAAAATTGAGGAAAAAGATTACATTTATTAATGTCATTCTAATAATTGTAACGTAACATGGTGCGAGAAACTTATTAATTTTAGACATATTTATCTTTATTAGCTTGCAAAATAGAGGATAGCCAACCGTTGCGGTACGTAAAGATATTTTTAATAGCGTATTTAAAGAAACACACGTTAGAAAAAAATAAAAACAAGAATGGCGCAATAAAATAACATTATAAATTATTTAAAACAAAACAAAACGTAATAGAAGAAAAAAATTTGTTACACAGATGTTTTTTTGCTTTCAAAATTAAGTAAAAAAAGAAATTAAGCGATAATACATTTTTTAAATTAGAATTAAGTTTTGTTCTTAATTCTGCAGCAGAATGACACATAAAAAATCTCGAAAGACCTTTGTAATAACACACTGAATAAAAAAGTTGGCCACTCTTGGTATAATATAAAAACAAATTAGAGAAATATTTTAAATAAATATAAGCACACACATCACAAACTTTAAGTTATTGCAATGAAACGTTTTACTCCGTGAGTGGGTATGAATATAATGCTTCGTTAAATTGCAAATATAAAGATTAACTTCTAAAAAAACCATACAAGAATGCACGAGGATAAAAAAATTTGCATTAGGTATACGTTGCAATCTGCATTCTCTTCACTGACATCCGCCACATAAGAAGTCACTTGACAGTTTAATCTCGTACAATGCAAACTTATACGGATTCTGATTCTTTTCATTCTCAAGGAAACAAGCAACAGTTGGATTCGCAAGATCAAAAGAGAGAGCAGACAGAAACGTATTTCAAAATTGGGGAAAAACCATATATCAAGAACTTACCTTTAATATAACTTCTCCCCTGCAGACGAGTTCGAATGTGCCAAAGGTATCCAGGATTTCCTTCGTTTTCGGACTGACATGAATCTTCAAAGCTGTCGCAGAAAAAGGAAAACGACTTGTTTTACGCGCGTCCTGTAATCCTCTCACAGCGCTAATTCGAAATGATTAAGATATATTATGTAATTAAGTTAAATTACGTAAAATGACGAGTTAAAGAATAACAAAGAATCATATGCTTCGCTTATAAACATTACCTTTGTCGTGCATTAAGCCTTTACATAATTATCACGATGCGGAATATATAAAAAATGTTAAATAACATCTCGAGTGACTACCTTTTAAAGTTAGTTAGTCAAACATAGTACATACGTGTATTATTTTCAGGTAAATGTTTTTTTTAAGGCATTTTTATTCCACAAATTTATTCCTCTAAATATAATATATTGTGTTTTGATATTATTTTTTAATCTCATAGAATTAATTTCAGCAAGAGAACATACGGTATCTTTTTCCGTAAACCGCTTTAAAATATTGAAATGTGACATTTAACTAGTGAACATGAGAAACAAAAATTTAAAAATTTACGTAGAAGAGCTTTTCAAAGTAATTGCGCTTTACACAAATAAGCTCGCTTTGAACTGGTCGTTTCTGATGATAGTACAATTTAAAGACTAAATGTAGTTGTAACATTGTGTGTGTGTGAACTTTATGTACTTTTGTTATTCGCACGATTGCTCTTTTATTACCTTCTATACTTTTAAATCACAACTAAATTACAGGACATTTTAAAAACATAGCAAATAATTTAATGCAGAATCTGGCAACCGGATATTCTTTTTTGGAACTGTTTTTCTTCACATACAAAATGTGGAAAAAATCTTCAAGTAATAAAAAATGAAGAACTTTTTCTGAGAATAAAAGTTTTAGAAAAAGATTATGGGTATAAGACTTCTTTTTAACTTTTTGACTTGCTCCTATTATTACCTCTGTTTAAACGTAAATTGAACTATAGCTTGCATTAGTGTGTGGGACGAAATACATATTTATTTTACCAGAAGTAACGTTTATTCAAATTCCAAACCGCAAAAACATTACAATTTTACGGTATGCAATAAATGATCCATTCAGTAGATAGGAATACTTCTTATCTCATTACGCGAGGAAATCGAGAGAAGCGCAATAAATTATTCTCTGAAAAACTGCATTAATAATTGTGCAATGACACTGAGTTGTTGTCGTATGGTTTCCATTAATTTCACGATCTGACGTGACCTTTAAGAAATGGCTCGATTTATTTTGATGCTTCAACGAACAGCGTCAAGGCAACGCATAAGAAGAACCGGACAATTTAAACCCTTTTGACATATAAACTTCGTATCTTGACTACCAATTAATTTCTTCCAGTCACCGCGAGGCTACGCACGTTTGACATGGATTCGATGAAGTTTGCAAGAGGCAAATTCTTTTCGTTGATCCTTTTTGTGTCAAACGAGATGAATTGGAGACCTTGGGAGACGCGATAACTCGACCTTGTCTATTTTCTGTCCTTTTATCGAAATCCGGAAGACATATACGAAGCATATTAATAAATTATTTAAAAAGTATAAACCTAAGCCTATCGTATTTATATGTATACACAATTTATAATTTTACATATTAATTACATATTAATTTAAAAATAAAATATAATATTTAAAAAAATTCGATAAATTTTTATATAAATACCATGTAACAAATATACAGTTGAAAAGTTATTTAATCTGACAGTTTATCGAGATGAGAGCTGCTCAATGAT